GGGTCTGGGCACAAGATCACAAGAGAACCTGCTGCCCGGGGCCTGTGATCATGGGAAGCCCGGAGGGTTCTAGAAGATGAAAGGGTCTGCCTTGGGTTTAAATGTCCGTTCAGATAGAGAGGAGCCCTGGGTGCCCGGCTGTTTCTCTGTAGGGCAGGTGGACGGGTGGTGGCCTTCCTGTCTCGCTGACATAATTCATAGTTTGGAGAAGAAGAAAAGGGGAAAGGGAAGAGGAAGGGAAGGGAAGATTCTCTGAGACGAGTTGGAGTCAGGTCTGGGGTCTGGCATGGCCAGGAATAACACAACAGGAACACACACACACTCATGCATGCGTGCGCACACACACACACACACACACATGAAGGAACTAAGAAATCAGCCTCCCTCAGCCTTGTACTGAAACATGGATACTGGGCCGAAGTGTCACCATCTTGTCCTCATGACCATCTTGGCGTCTTAACAGATGATGGGGAATTTTCACCCAGTTCCAAGAACTCTAGAGGTGACACAGGTCACTCTGGGAACGGGAGGGGTGACAGGTCGTTCTGAGAGCGCTGGAGGTGGCGCGGGTCATTCTGTGACCCTCGGCCGTGTCATGGGTCATTTAGCTCCAGGAAAGTCTTGCTCCAGAGAACACTTGTCCTTGGTGGCTCCCCCTCGGAGCTTGCTTTGCTTCTGGAGGACGAGCTTTGCTGGTCTTCTGCCTGGGTGTGGTTTTTGCCTTTGTAAACGTTGTGCCAGCTACATTCGGTCTGCAGGTATTCAGGACGTGCGTCCGCTTGGGAGACACAGGAACTCATCAGCGAGATGCAGAGAAGCCACAGTTTGAGGGTAGACTCGCATCTTTATCAGGAAGCCAGTGACAGCCGGTGACGCATGTCCCAAAGACCCGCGGCCCCCAGTGCAGCCGTCACAAAGCTGCTACAGCAAGGCCGCGTCCAGGCAGGTATATGCCACACCGTATCGGGACTAGCAAAGCACGTGCTACTGGAGCTTGCTATGTAGGGGGACAATCGAGGACAGCCAAGGGCAAGTATTCTCTGGAGCAAACCTTTTCTGGAACTAAACAGCTCATGACACAGCCGGACGCCGGTGGTTCATGCCTGTAATCCTGAGATCTGAGGATCATGGTTCAAAGCCAGCCCAGACAGCAAAGTCCCTGAGACTCTTTTCTCCAAGGAACCACCAGAAAACCGGACATGGTACTATGGCTCAAGTGGTAGAGTGCTAGCCTTCAGCGAAAGAAGTTCAGGGACAGCGCCCAGGCCCAGAGTTCAAGCCGTAGGACTAGCAAATAAAAAAAGATGGCTGAGTTGGAGGAGGCGTATAATCCTACAAGTTCCTCGATATGGGGCCCTCAGAAAGAATGGGGCTCAGAGACGCAGTTGTTAGAGGAAGAGTCTCAGATGCTGCGCTCAGTGCGGGACAGCCGCTGAAGTGTGTGTTGGGGCCGGACTCCTGCTCGAAGCTTCCGGTGCTTCTAGATAAGAACCGGCAGCTTTCTCGTGGGAATTCCTCCTGCCTTTAAGAAATGGAATTCCGAGCAGTTCTCTGGCTCTCTGGCCCCTGCTGGTTTTTAGGCTTTAACTCGAAACAGTCAGTGGTCTGAGTGGCGTACTTGGCACAGGCCATGTTCTCAGCACATTTATAAAACCCCGCACAGTGCGCAGAGTGAATCTGAGTGGACATGACGTAGACATCGTTACCCCTGCACAGCACAGGCTGGCTTTGAAACTCCATCCTCATATGTCAGCCTTGTGTGTGTGTGTGTATGTGTGTGTGTGTGTGTGTGTGTGTGTTGCTTCTGGGGCTTAAACTCTACTACTTGGGCCACAGTTCTATTTTCAGCCTTTTTGGTGCTTAGTTGAAAGTAAGAGTTTCACAGACTTTCCTGCCCGGGCTGGCATTGGAACTGGGAGCCTCAATCTCAGCCTCCTGAGTAGCAAGGATTACAGATGTGAGCTTCCTGAGTAGCAAGGATTACAGATGTGAGCTTCCTGAGTAGCAAGGATTACTGATGTGAGCCACCTCTACCCAGCACTTTGAGAATTTGTCTTTTGAAGGAATGTAAATCTTTCTCACGACACAGTAAAGCTTTTGCTGGTCTCATCATTCTGGATGAATTCCTCAAGGATGGGGCACGTCTTCCAAGGGTCAACAGCAGGCGGGCCCCGGTGGCGCACGCCTGTCATCCACGCTGCTCAGGAGGCTGAGGTCCGAGGATCAAGGTTCAGAGCCAGTCCGTACTGTAAAGTCCATGAGACTCTTTTCTCTGATAAACTGCTCCAAAAAAAGCCAGAAGTGGTGCTGGGCTCAAGTGGTAGAGTGCTAGCCTTAAGCAACGAAGCACAGGAACAGCACCACCCAGGCTCTGAGTTCAAGGCCCAAGAGCAGCAAACACATAGAAAAAGATAAACATCCAGGACAGAAAGCGCCCCCCCCCTCCGCCCTCACGCCCAGGCTACATTTTAGGATGATGCTTATCCAATACCAAGCTGCTTTCATTCCCTTCTGCTCTCTGAGCTGGCAGAAGACTGTTTTAAGTTGCAGCCCCCTGCAGGGCCATAATCCAGAAAAGCATGTTGGAATGTGCAGTTTGGAGTGTGGAGAGGAGGAGCAGGCCCCGGGGTCCCTGGGGAAGGCAGCTGGGCGGAGGGGGTGACGTGTGGCTTCCAGCCTCTGCCCTGTCTGCCTTGGATGACCTCCTGGAGTCAGCTCAAGGTCATCCATCGGCCTAGCTGCCGCCAGCTGACCCTTTTCCCCCCAGAAGGTCTGTCTGTGAAATGGTGAGGGAAACCCATTCTACTTCCCTCTGCAGGCCCCTCTCTCAGTCCTCCAGGACCCCTGAGCCCCAGGGTGGCCGCCATCATCCCAGCCACCATTTCAACCCAGTGTTCATCTACTCCACTCCTGCCATGAACAACCTGTGAGGCACCACAATTCAGCACGTCATCAACACCCCGGGAAATTCTCCCCCTATGGTAGTTGTGGTGATGGTGGTGATGGTAGTGGTGATGGTGGTGATGGTGATGGTGATGGTGATGGTGGTGATGGTGGTGGTGATGGAGGTAGTTGTGGTGGTGATGGAGGTAGTTGTGGTGGTGATGGAGGTGGTGGTGGTGGTGATGGTGGTGGTGATGGTGATGGTGGTGGTG